CAGTTCGCATAGAAACTTGGGGATACGAGAGACATCTGAAACACAAAGGCCACCCGCTGAAAAGTCTTTTTTTGTATGACTTTTGGTTAGAACTTGCAAAAAATGACCCTAGTTCTAACCCAAAAACATTGATCGAACCGTAATTTGACCAAGTCCAAAATGAACCGCCAAAAATAGGTCAAACCCAACCAAACTTGACCCGCTAATGTAAGAGTTTTTCAAAGTCATATACATTAATATGAAATACGGAGTATAATGTTATAAACATAAGATTATAATTATATTTCTTTTTTTATTACTCATTTTTAATATATAAATTAATATTTTGAGAAAATTTTAATGATATCAAATACGGAGTAATTATCTTACTTTTCCCAAAACTTCATATTTAGTTTTTTTATTTGTAATATTTACTTATATATCTAAAAATTACTTAAAATCTCAAAAATAAATAAATGTCAAAACTCGTTGGGTCAAGGGAAAAAGACTACAGTATGAATACAATATTGAAAATATATCAAAATATAAGTTCCATATTTTTATTCCCTGAATATGAATTCGCATTGTGGTAATGTGGCACTGTACATGTACATTTTACGTAGTGTATATAGTCATGATTGATAATGTAAATACATTTTAACTCCTAAATAAGAGTTTCATGTTTTTATTTCTGAACCCGGAACTAAAATGCATTTACATTACCAATCATGACTGATGAGTGTATTCCACCCACGACCGGTCAAAAGGAGAAGACCAATTAGTTGACCGGTCAATCTCGAAAGTCTTGGAAGGGAGACTTAAATCATCAGCAAATTGATGTGTGATCGGCCCAAATATGACCGGTATACTTCACGAAAAAGTATACCAGTCAAACTACGTTGTCACCCTATTTATTCCTTGACTTCGATGAATTCATCCCTCGGAGATTACCCGGTGTAGTTTCTAGGGTTGGAAAATGTCGACAGAAGAAAATCTGGAAGGGTTTGGCGTGTAGTGACCCATGTCAGTGGAGGAAAGCTGGAGATACTTGAGGAATCCATCCAAGGCACTACTTGACAAAGGGAATAATCCTCCTCACAAGGCGACAAGGCAGCTCAAGGACGAAACTAATTTCCAATTATTAATTAATTTTTCTCTCGACATAATTAATTAATTTAACAATAAAAATAATTCTAGAACAATTATTCCAACTATTAAATAAACATACAGAATATATGCCCAAATTTAGTCAGGACCCTAATCCGGGCCCTAACCCATACTAAATATCAACCGTGCATACAATAAAAGAACATTTTATTAAAAGTTGTAAAATAAACTTACAACCGGAAGCAGAGCCGGGGCCTCTTCGGGACAACCGGGACAAAACTAAAGTAAAAATATTACTCCCTCCGTCCGGGAATGATGTTCCCGGTTTGAATTTTCCTCATTTTTAAGAGTGGTTGACTTTGGGGAGGAATGGTCCAAAATACCCTTCAATGAATCCCCAATTTCCGCTAGCCACCATTGCCGACATCTCTTCCCACCCCACCTCTACCAATTCCTGGTCGCCGCAATGCCCTCCCACCACAACCTTCGGCCACCATCTCCGGCATCTCTTAGCACCCCACCTTCTCTACCAATTCCCGGTCGCCGCTAGCCCCCCACCACAACCGTCAGTCCGTCGCTCGCCGTCATCCCCCACCACCGCGGCCAACCCCACCTTCTCCACCAATACCTACAGTGTCGTCAGCCTCCACCACAACCTCTAGTCTCTCCGTCTCTGTCATCCCCCTCCATCACAGATTTAGAAGAAAGAGAAGACCTGCGAGGAAGGGAAGAAGAAGAGGAAGAGACGGAGAGTGATTTTGTCACAGATCTGTTTAGATCTAGAAGATAAAGGGATGAAAAAAAGAAGAAGATGATGATGATGAGAAGAGAAGAAGAGGGGGATGATCGGAAAGTTTTACTCCGTTGAATTCTTTTGCACAATCTTTTGCACCTTTGTACCACTTTTGACTCAATTTTTATTCTTTTTATAACAAGACTTAACTTTTGTGCACTTTTACAATTATGAATAAAAACTTATAAAAACTTTTTAGAAATTAATTTGTTTGATCCAAAATTGGACAACAACGCGTTAAATGTAAAGAAGATAAGTGCGTACAAAACAGACTTATCAAATTCCCGACACTTAAGCGTTGCTTGCCCTCAAGCAACAGAGTACAACAACAAATGAAATTTTTGGATCAAACACTTATTTACAAAAAGATTTTAGAAAAAAACTATTGACCACACTTTTAAACAATTTATTGCACATAATTCTTTTACATTATTTAATCTTTACAAAAGTAGAACTACTACAAAGTACAAATATCACCCTTTTTACACAGAAGTTAGCAAAGAATTTTAATTTTCTTCTAAAAGATAAACATAAATTAGGATTATGCTATGTGTACCCCAAGATTTGTACCCCAATTTGTACCCCGCAGTTTTTGTAACACCCTAGTCCATCCAGGTCTGCAGCCCCATTCGGACTAAAGTATTTAACTTGGAAATCGTAAAATTTAAAACTTTTCAAACACACTTTATAAATCTCAATAATATTTTTCATAACATATACAGTACGGAGTATTTAACAATATTGCGGAAGCGAATTTAATATTGACATATCATAAATTATTTCAAAACTTGTCACATCCATCCTGACAATCTCGCCCCATCTGCCACCAGGATCACATTAATCTTTCTGTTTACCTGCGTGTAGCAAATAAAACACACTACACGCTCAGCGGTGAAGCTGAGTAAGCATATCTAAAGCGTCGAACATCCACATAAATTGAATCTCAATTCATAATCAACCATTTGATATCATGCACACAATATATGGTTCAAACATTCATAATATTTTCAACATTTTATTCCAAGTCATTTGATATTCAATATATCAATAATGCTCTTAAATTATTCTTAATCTAAGGCCACATCATTTTATATTCAGCTCTTAGCTATTCCTAGTCTAAGGCAGTAATTCTAACCAGGCCCTTAAACTACAATTAGTTTAATGCAGAACACAAGAATCGATAATCCACCCTGTGAGTCATGTGGATTACGTACCAACCGAACAATGATTTGTCGGGTGGGTGATATCCGGTCTGGATCCCGTACGTACGTTTTAACCCCGAAATATGAATTGGTCAAGGAGGTATATCTTAGAGTTCTTCTAGATATCCTTAATAATCATCATCATTATACAAGTGGGTATATCTTTAGAGTTCTTCTAGATATCCTTAACAACATTATTCAT